GAGAGGGAGGGAGACAGAAAGAGAGGGAGAGAGAGAGAGAGAGAGAGAGAGAGAGAGAGAGAGAGAGAGAGAGAGAGATTGGGAATGAATAATCGTTTGTCGGCCGTAAACTACGTGATTTTCAACACTGCCCATAAAATAAAGAAAACCTGCTTCTTTCTTCCTGTTGTTCGGTGTGCAGGTTTCTGTTTCCAAAGTAGCTCTTTACTTAACTTAGGAGGGCTAGGGGTAATAATATTTAGAGTTATGTTGGGCAAGCACATGAAAAAGCAACAGGCTCCTCAAACATAGAGGGAGTGCTTATCCTTGATCCTCCAACTGTGATAGCCCTTGTGCGAGATCACCTTGCCAGCAGCCGTGAGTGAAGAGGAACCCTTCACGAAAGAGATTGTGATAGAGAAAGGAGTGCACCCTGGTGAAGGCAGGAGGAGCAGCCTGTGTGGCCCCATCAGACGCTACAACAATTAGCGCTCATATGAGTTGCGAGCGCCGTAAAACCTCTACTAAAACAAACAGACGCTACAACAACCAGCTGATGATGGAGACAATCAGCCTGCCCACACTGAAATGGACCCTTTTGAAGAGGGGTGAGGAAGCATGGGACACCCCGTCTTCCTAAGACCCCAGTTCTACATTCAAGTATTCGAGTTCAAGTAAATATGAAAAAGCAACATTATCATATACCTTCTTCAAATCTATATAAACAGAATCAGATGTTGGACATTGGCATCTGTGTATAGCGGTAGGACGCTTCTCTGTCTGCGGGGATGCTGTATCTCTCTCCGCAGCCTGTGTTGGCCCTGACAGGCAGGGTTGGAATCCCACCTCCTAATAAATGATCTAAACTGTGTTGATAGGGATGTAAAGACAACATATCAAGGTCTTTTTTAAAAATATATTTTAGAGGAAGCTTATGATGATTCAAGGCTGCCCTGTCTGGAGCTCCTTAGTAAGATCTGGAGTTTCTAAATTTGAATTTCTAGTAAGATTTTTACAGCACTTGTAATACAATGAAGTAAAAAAATGTTCCGAAGATTAGAGGAGTTACTAGAGGGTAATTCTAATATACATAGAAAAGGAGAAGAGATAAGAACGATGGGTGTTTCTCTTTTCAAATGTAGGTCTTTTAAAGCCCTCATCAACACACATTCGATCATTTAGGAGACAGGCTACCACCCTTCCTGTCAGGGCGAACCCGGTCTGAACCAATATTATATTAGATAAAAAATGCCTCCCCACTTAGGGATCAAACTCCGGTCCTCTGCATGAGACAGCGAAGTGCCTAACTCTAACCGCTACACCACTGTCACTTGTGACGTCATCTGAGAACAGAACGAAAGAGCCTCATGTCCCGGCCAGTTTCAACCCCACACATTCCCTGCACCCCCCC